CGACGGACTATCTAAAGGACAGCGCGACGGACTATCTAAAGGACAGCGCGACGGACTATCTAAAGGACAGACGATAGCTTGGTTGCTGGAATTTGGCATGTAGTTCTTGTGTGTCTAGCAGGAGGCTTCAACAGAAGCTACGGGATCGACTATACTGCGTAGAGAATTAGCAAAACATTGATTACTTGCACCCTTTCAATTGTAAAAGTCCAGTCGCATGGGGCTGAGTTTTTGACAACCAGCTTCACAATGTTTTGGATTGCGTACGAGGCAGGGCGCAGCCCCTTGCAACACACTACTATCTACATAGTATACCCTGTTTAGTTCTTAGAAGCCCCAGTGAACATGAAACAGTGGTACAGGGAAACCACGACAGTTGTCAAGATATTTGAAGGGGCAAAAGTTATGCGTCACCCATATATGCAGGGGAGCCCTGCTTAGTGTGGCGCTATCGATGCTTATCTCCGCTAGGATTCGAGCTGGATTTGTAACCGATCTCGTACTGTAATCAAAGCCGCTTCTGCCTTCCCTTCTTTCTCCATCTACTTACGTTCTTCTTGTTTCATCTTCTTTTCTTTCTCTGTTTCTTGTTCTCTTTATTTTTGTTTACAACTTTTGAAAGAGACATAGAAAAGAGGTACAACATGTAAACAGAAAAAGGCTTGAGATAAGAAAATGAATGAGGAGAAGAGAACAGAGGCAGAAAAGAAGGGGGATTGTAAAAGGGAAGTGTTTTTTCTCTTTTTTCCCCTTCCTTGCCAATGAAACAAGATGTGATTTTGGACGGAGCCTGTACTAAATAGGGGGCCTACCTATCTTGGCAGTAGATAAATAACAGTCACTAATACGCATATACTTTCCTAACGAAGCATAGTGATCGATGCTACTTACGATATTACGCAATTCTCGGAACCACGTTTTATACGAGGCTGCCGAGGTTTCCCCGAGATCCAAGATTGCTTTCTTATGCAGATAGATCAGTAGTTCTACTTGGACTTATGCTGAAGTTTTCCATATCTTATACTCTACGATAATGCTCTTGTTAATTTTTGATGTTCCTTGGGTAAAGAGAAATCACCTGCCTATTGTGTTGAATACTTGCGTCAAAATAGTTCGTATTTCTCTTGAAGAATGACGTGCTTAATAGCTACTAAGGTACGTAATCAGTTGTGCACGATTATCAAGGTGTTCGGCTATATTCCTGCGCGAATAAATGTTTTGTCGAAAGGGGCCGATTTCAAAGAGATCCAATCTAACTGATAGTGATAACCTTATACTAACCTTCTTGTAGCACTAGTAGCGAATTAGTACCCCACTAACTGACATTAGGATGGGTTGACATAACCACAGGGTTCTTGTATAAGACCTCCAGTCTTTCGAACGTTTGTCGGGTACCTGCATTCCTATTCCAACTATACGGAATATCATCAGCCATCATGCGCGTCATACTTTCCAATCTGGCACTCTTTGCCTGTGTCTCTCTAGCCGCCCCTGCCCCAAACGCCGCAACGTCCACGAAAGAAACGCGTAGCCTCGACGAAATCTATGAGGCAGCTGTTGCTGAAGGTGGCATTGTCACTCTTTTTCAGGGCGGTGACGAAAAGTCTCAGGCAAACGCCCTGAAGAGTGCCTTTGAGACACGATTTCCTAAAATGACTCTGAATGTCACAGTCGACCTTTCCAAATACCACGATACAAACATAAATTTGCAACTCGCAAACGACAACGTATACGTGGACAGCGTCATCCTTCAGACGCTTCATGATTTCCCCCGCTGGAAGAAGGAAGGCGCTCTGATGAATTATGCGCCATTGAACTTCGACAAAGTTTATCCTCAGTTCAAGGATGCAGATGCAGCCTACAGTGGACTGTTTATTATTTCTTGGGGGTATGACACACCATGAACTGTATGTCAATATCACTACTAAACAAATACAGTATCGCTGCCAACCCGAACAAAACGAGCGCAGTACCCACTGCATACGAAGATTTCATCAAACCCGAGTTCAAGGATAAGCTCGTTCTGACTTATCCTAACGATGACGACGCGGTCTTGTTCCAGTTTGACACCATGTAAGTTCTTATCTCGCTTCATATATGCGGTTTATTAATTGAATTTCTAGCTTGGAAAAACTAGGCATGGAATGGTTCGACGCCCTTGTTGCCAACAACCCCCGCTGGGTACGCGGCACACAAACCCCAGCAACGATTCTCAAAATGGCAAACAGCACCAGCGTAGCAACATTTACTGTCAGCTATGGATTCACGAATAGCACGGGAGCGTCATATGCACTACCCACTGATGCCAAATTCGTCTCTTGGCCTCAGACTGGCGCCATCCTGAAAAAGGCACCGCATCCAGAAGGCGCAAAGTTGCTCCATAGCTTCATGCTCAGCGATGACTACCAGAAGGCTAGAGCTGGGTGGAGCGTTCGCGAGGACATTCCGGCGGCCAATGGCCATCATAAAATTCTTGAGGAGCCTAACACGGATGCAACGGCATTTGCCAAGTTTATGGCAGACCGTGCGAATGTCGAGAGAGCTAGGTTCTTCTACGAATCTAGACTTGGTACCGCGCAAGGTCTCAGCCCGCTCATTGACGGTATTTGAGCATATGCTTGCAGTGGCAATGATGATCGCTGTAGGAAGTTGGGGGTAAAAATGTAAATAGGATATTGATGTGTATATTCTGTTCCACGATTTTAGGCTGTGCTTCTCTAGTCTCTACGCCGTAACTAGGGCGAAACGGCTAAATGCGTTGGTCTATGCGATCATTAGGAGTTATAGAAAGCAGTTTACTATAGACCTTATCTGGGAGTAGCAATATGTGCAAGAACGAATTTACAAAAAGAAAATGAGCACAACGCGTGTTATAATAGAAACTATCGCTCCAGTGATACATGGACGCAAGGACGCGTCTAGGTTGATGTCTTGGTATATCTGGTCTTTAGCCCTGAAGAGTTAACTAGCTTCCAAGAAAGTTGAAGTGTCTGGTTTGATGGTCATCTCGTAGTTGCGGGTTGCTTTTGTAGTAAGATTCCAAACCTATGGGCGATGAGATACTTGAGGGGTTTGAAGAGTAAGGTTCCATAGGTTTTTAAGCCTTGAATAGAAGTTATCCGCGCCATGCTGTCTATACATCCTTCTAAAAGACTAGGTGTTATACAGGTGTCGGAAACAGACTAACTTACAACTACTCAATCTCTGCCCTGACGTTCAAGATGTATTTGAGAACATACATGGTGCAGACCCCCCCCCCCCCCCCCCCCCCCCCCCCCCTCTTTCTCTTTTATCTGCTTTTGGAGAAGGAAAGCCTCGTCTAGCAAAGCAAAATTCTCTGAAAATCAGAGGCCATTGTTCCTGTTCTGCACCACACACTGCTACAACACCATACAATATCCTAACTAGAATACCAACCATGCCCCGCGAATTGAACACATACTGATATAAATACACATTATGGTTATAAAATTCAAACTGATGAATCAAGAGTTGGCGCAGCTGTTAGATGACCCCGACCAATGATGGATCGCGAAGGAGGTTGAATAAAGTACATCACGAGTGGCCCAGGCAGCAAATAGATTTGGAGGTACATCGATATTTAGTGAGACATAAAGCCGCCCAGGCTACAGCCAGCTTGGTCAATAATGGCCCTGCGATACTTGAGCCAGCACACGCCTGATGATTTGATGGAGAAATAGTTCCTGAACCGCAACCACCTCTACGACGTTGAGAGAGCGTTAATTAAAACTAACTTGTGAGCATTCTCGACTTCCCAGGACAGATTTAGCAAGGACTTAGCTGGATAGATATGCTAAGACACCAAATGAGCTGGGGGTAACAGCAAAGATACTTTTCGCGCGCATTCAGTCAATTGTCAATTGTCTTCAAAACGCTTAAAAGGATACAAAATACCGCCTTTTAGAGGATCTTGTATTCTACTATAACAGTGTCGGAGGCACATTAAGGCTGGTATCGAAATATCCGGATGTTGAAGGAAGGAAGCGAGTCATCCCAACAACATTTGTATCAGCTGATGCAGACATCACAAGATGCCAGGAGACATCCAGAACCCGGCCATCCATTCAACATCGCATTAGAACTTTTATCCTCGCTTCTTGAGTATTATACCATAAATTAGTTGTAGAAGATCTTGTCTTCATGTGACTAGATCTTCTTCGGATCGCGACCAGATCCACTAGGTTACGACGCTGCACAACCATTTATGATCATTTTCGATTACAGGCACCTTAAAAAATTGAACGAGTACTCCACTGGTGCTATTTAGTACGATGCTGAAGCTCTGAAAACCAAATATCAGTACCCCTCGTAATACATAAGAAAGGAAGGTTTTACCCTGCATTCGACTAATTCAGCTTGGTCTCTAGAAAGGCCTTGAGGAAGCGATTAGCACCAAAAAGAGCATTGCCTGATGACGGCACTGTTTGCGTCAAACGCCTAAAGAGGAAGGCTTCGTCATTACATAACTGAAGGATAGGTAAACGATTTGCAGAATCAATCCACGCCTTTTAAGGTTTTCCCTTGACCTTGGCCAAAAAGAAGATGAAATCGAGGTAATTAAGATATCTTAGTGTTTCAGTGGGGTGTTTTTCAAGTGCTCAGCGGCGGTTGATTATAGATTTAGAATCACGAATCATCGTCGTTACGGTTGTAACCCTTCCACATTCAATTTCTCCATAATTGAAATAGCTTCAAGGAATTCTACTACCTTTTCAGACGGTTCTACTTATGTAGACAGTATAGAAGTTCGCGATAGCTGCCATTATCGCAGTGGTCAGTAGGTAAATATATACATCAAACGTAGTGGTGAGGCGAACCAGAGTTTTTGTCTCGATTATCCGGAATTAGATCAGGCTAGAGCTACATGTTTCCTGGACAGTGTTTAGTGAAGTATTTCTAAGCTGAATGTCAATAGATACCGCTACTAGTGACGCTGGAAGATAGAGAGTGTCTATGATAGAAAGCCTCTTTATAGCCTTGAAATTATCACCCATGGACTAGGCAACGTATTCCAGTGGACGATACATTTGAGCGATTCTGACAACACCGACGTCTTTCGCTGTGTGCTAGCTCCTTGTTTGCATCGAAACGCGCTGCTCTCAACACAGTCGTATTTAGGCTTTATAGATGGTGAGAATAGAATTCCAGTAGCTATAGAATTACAATCAGTCATTGTTAATTAGCCGAGTACATATATGAGAACGTTTTGATGAATGAGGAGTAGAGTTATCATATTAGGCGGGCATATGGCATCCGCAATGATGACGGGGTACTCATAGAATTTGCAGTTTAGGATGTTGAGCACAACACCATGGTATAGATAAACAAGATTCAGCTCTTTTTACACGACCAGCAAACAAGTAGCTGTACTAGTATGACGTTGCTCAACAGAGCACGCTTTCCATGGGTAGACCCACTCTAGTAGCCGCTATTTTTCTTGAACCGGTACCTCAATAAAATCCCACACAATGTCCTCAGAGCTCCAATCCATAATCTTGATCTTCTGTTTAGTCCCACTCTTGGATTGGTCCGCAAATACGCCCAAGGGGCGAAGATGGTCGTCGTGACGCACTAGCAGAACGTACCCACCTTCTGGGCGCATTCGGGGAAATATACGTTCGTTGTTTCGATGATGAGGAAATCTGCAGAACAGAATTCCATGTTCTTGGTAACCAAGACAATGTGCCGAAGCTGGATCCTTAAACCCTAACCAACCTTTCTCCTCAACGCACCGCCACCTGAAAGTGCCAAGCCCTCCTATCTTATCCATTACGACCTCGCCGTCTAAGAATGTGATGACTTGTCCATTTTTCCGAGATCGAATGATGAAAGCTCTCCCAGGCCATGGGATAGACGATTGTAGAATTTCATTTCTCGAAGCGTTCTGTGTGGTATCTTCGGAAGATGCAGAAGGGGTGGGAATGTGCCACGTTTCAGACCCAACAAAGGAGTGAGCTGTAGGCTGACCGTGCGCCATGTTTTCGAACACTGGCTTCAATGATCGTTCGCGATATATAGGGATTACGGTATTCAGAAGAAGGCTAAACCAGCGATGTCCTTTTGAAGGATTGTCGACAAAAGACGTGTCGCCTTGGCGGGCAGCCGAGGCGCAATCGTCATTGGTGCTAATGCCCCGCCCGCCCGAAGTGGGGCGGCGAATCGACGAGTATTCGTCAGATTTGTTCAACGTCATCTCGCGCTTGTCATCGTAAGGTTGCGGTGCAGGCGCCTCGCACTAGGTTTGTTCGCCTAAGAACACTTTAGAAGACTTCTACGATAAGCAACTCAACGATAAGCTAAAATGTTTCTGAACAAGTCTAACACTTAAGCTGGAGCTACCAGTATCATTATCCGTCATACAAATAGTACTACTGCTAAAGATTGTAATCATAATTAGTAAAATGGTTACTTGGCTGTCCTAGGCTATGCAGCCTAAAAAGAGACGGCATATCTCACAGCGGTATGTTGAACTGAATTGTTTGTATATATGTATGACACCCCGAGAGTAAACCATCTTATGTCTCTATTTCAGAGTATGAAGATTCACATGTATATGGTTTTCTTCAAGTGCTACAGAGTTCGACACTATCCTGGAGGTACTTCGGCCATATTAACTATTTCAAATCCTATCCGTGATTTTAGTAGGTCTGATTACAAGATTTTCCTCGCTGTTTGTATTGGTATTATGATTAACGTCGTCAATTTGTTGCTCCAAATCCGTTTTCACGTGGATAGTTCGTGGTGGTCCCGTGTAAGAATCGGATACCACATTTCCACTGCGATAATGCAATTCAACCTCATCTGGAATAGTGCCAATACTGCCTTTACCCTTGAGTTTGACGAATGATGAAGAGTCCTTGGGTGTATCCTTTGTTCCTCCGTACGTGCTCTTGCGGCTGCCGTATAGGGTTGCAAATCTAGGAATAACTTTGACGACTAGCGGTTTCAAAGCGGGTGCACAAGCACAAACGATACCTAAGATCTTAATTGCTGTTTATGTATGGTTGAGGATTTCAGCTCACCTAGATTTACCTCGATAGCACTCCAATAGGCTGGCGCAGTTCCATAGAAAGTAGAGTCTTCGGGGTGTTTTGCGAGCTCGATGAAACCATGCAATCGGGCAATAGAGATCACGCAAACACTTTGCCGTAGCAGTTAGCATTGTTATGTATACATAAAAGAAGTTAACTTACCACCAGCCAAGGGTTAGGATGCACATGAGGGCGACCCGTTGCTTTCGTGAAATCTGAAGTTGCCATATCGGTCGTATAGGGAGGGCTGCAATGAGAATGTCGGTAACAATGTTCATAGCAGCACCTGCGAAGGAGAAGCTGAAGACTGATTAAACCACGTTTTTGGTTATTTTGAAAGTAATACTCACGCATTTGAATTGATGCAGGTTGCATTTTTCTTTTTACTGATATCCCAGAACGCAGATACAGGGATGCAGGAGAAAATCAGAACAAGCGACGCACTAATACCAGTTGCTAGGCAAATGGCTCCGACAATGTAAATAGGTATTCTCATTGATGAGAAGGTGAATATACGACGGTATTGTAGAAGTATCGATAGTTTTGTGAGGGTGAGGGCGTTGGCGTACGCCAAAATGCTTCCATACAAGTACTTGACATTGTCAAATCGTGGTCATTATATGTTGATAATATGTCGTACCTTCAATGTGGTTTCTATCTGTGGTAGTGTCAAGAACATCATATGTTTCGAACCCCCATGTTTAGCTCCTTTACCTATTCAGTATACGGAGCAACTGCTACTAGAGATTGGATTGTACCTTCTATTTGCAATACAGCCATGGCAATAACATGCGCCTGAATACGTCAGTGATATGTAATTGAGCTGCCATGTGCAGAGTCGTACAAATGATACCATGATGCAGTAGTCTTCGAGACCAATGTTACGGATGATGATTAAACGCGCATAGATTCGTAGGCAAACCAAAATACAGCCGATCGCAGTAAAGACGGAGACGATAGAGATGAGCAGAGGGCCACCGTCCTCCCTTTGCAATGCAGCGAGCTGCTCTGGGGTCAACAGTGGTGATGAAGAGCTGACCATCTTGGGAGCACTGCACTGGTCGATTTGATTGTCGATGCAGCAGGGCTGGGTCGACGCAATTATTAAGTTCTGCACAAGAGAAAAAACTCAAAACTTATCAAAAGTAGTATAGTAGGATCTAAAGAACCCTGGAATACTCCTTTGACATGCATAGCGATCGGCTGGTTGCAAATACAATCCGAAAGTTTATTAACCGTCCGCCGTGCCCCAAGCGATTTGCTGGCTGTAGTTCTGGGTAAAAGACATGGTTCCCTTGCATGGTTCCAGTATCCGATAGGCTAACCGTCTCAAGACGGAGCATGGGAATCCCGACATCCGAGTTGAGTGCCGCCACCATCAAGCGGAACTATAGCGGGAACCTGAAGCTCTTGCACTTGGATACATTGTCTGGAATGAAGCACACACTACTTCGGCCATGATGATGCAGAGGTGTAGGTTGCACAATACCAGTTCTTATAGCAAGTTATATAATGTGAACGCGTCGGTCTACTCGACACAGATGGTCAAATTTCTTGTTTGTGACGGTGGGAAGTGAATGAAGTGAATGAAGTGAATGAAGTGAATGAAGTGAATGAAGTGAATGAAGTGAATGAAGTGCGATAGGGTCAGGTGAAGCCTGTAGCAGGCCTAAAAGGATTGTCGCGCAAGGAACGGTGCATGCGAGACAAGACAGGGGTGTGTGTGTGTGTGTGTGTGTGTGTGTGTACCCGGAAGTGGTTCTTAGTGTCCGCGGCCTCATGTGGAGAGATAATCCGGGGAACAACACGGGCTTGGGCTCCTGTGCCGGGAGTGGATATAGCGATCTAGGCTAAATCCTTTGCAATCCTAACGTTCCAGGATACGGAAATGCCTCACGAATGTGGCTGTTACCTGAAACCTTATCACTACTCAATGTGCATTTACTCAACAAAAGCTTCGTGGAGTACTCTCCGCAGCACGAGCCTCAAGTTTGGGCTACAATCAAGTTAGTAGGGTGGCAGGGTCAACCCATTGTAGCAATCATATTTTGCGTCGCATTAGCGGTACGTACGTGGCGGAACGAATTCTGACAAGTGCCGAGTTCTAATGAGCCCTAGTGCAGCCAACTTCTAGGCCCCCAATAGGATGCGATTCTAGGGACTGAGCCGTAGATTAGGATTGAGCTAGACCGGGAGCCTCTAGTAATTCCTGGGGCTTTGCACCTTTCATTGGCTGCCACACTATGATGGCGCACTTCGCCACCTTTCAGGCACAAGTGATGAAGGCACTCAAATGCATCCTTGCGGCATATTAAGGTTTACCGAACTGTCTGTGCTTGATGCAAGCTGTCGCATCATCCGGATGTACATTTCGCGACAGTTTGCATTGCGCACACAGACCAATATAGCAAAGTAGACGCAATGTATAGGATGGACAAAAAGGCACAAAAGCCAGGCGTGCTGAATGAAATATCGTTATCCTAACGAATGTTTGTGTAGCCTTTCCACCGCAATCATCAGCTACTTTGACATCTGCTGTGCTTCACTACGTACGACTAATCGGTTTGAGAACGTCATAGCGCATCTTGAATGGAAGTACTATTCGACCTCTACTCTTCGACGTTTCAATTTTACTGATAAGAGAAAGAGTTGCTGCAAAACAAGGAATGAATGGCAGCTATGTATGCAACCGCCGTCTGTTCTATTTTGGAGTGGGCTCTGAGGCACAAAAAGCCGATCACTTGCCTAGGGCAATTCCGTTTTTTTACCGATAAGGGGCTATCTGAAATAGCACCCACATTTTCACATCGGTTGCACAGTGACAGGCTATGGTCTCAGATAGACCAGGCTCGGAAGCCCGGGTGGCCTAAATCCAATCGCTAAACGGGCTGGCGGAGCTAAACGGATTAAGGGTGCGCGAGGGTACCATAGTCCAGCAAGAATAGATGGAACGATCACAGCCTAGAGTAAAAGTATTTGAGAAAAATAGGTGCCGCATGCATGGCTGAAACATACGACCCAGGAGATAAAGTGTTTGTGCTGGACGACCCGTTGCAGAAAAAGAGCGGCCGCATTGAGACTATTGAGATGAACGTACGAATTAGAAAAGCGTTTTGATCTACCGGACTATGGACCCTACTAAAAGGTCTCTTGACGCAGTCTCTACATTTCCAATTCCATGATCTAAGATAATATCATACCCAGCAGTAATTTCGAAAATCTAATTGGGGACGGGGCAAACATGGCTGAAACTCTGAGCTATATAGGCCTTTGGGAGCTGACTAGATTGCTGCAAAATAGGCACAACTAAAGTATCACGGGGTTTTGTGACTATCATGGAGCTTCACCCCACACTCAAAAGATATGCCAGCCTTCCACTTCAGGATGATGCAGATAGAGAGGAAACCCGCCAAGCAGCTGTCCCTGGAATCGCAAAGTACAAAGCAATGAGCGAATTGCACAGTAGTTGCTTTCCATCCAATAACCTGCTCTACATACAACAATAAAGTTTGCATGAGGACGAGCACTCAGCAGCAGCAGCAGCAGCCATGAATGCTTGATGCATAGCCTTGGTTGAACTTCATGGCATAATTGCAACCTCCAGATTCAAGTCTGACACGTTATGCCGCGTCAGAAATTTCGTCATGTATCAGATCATCTTCAGAGATACTTCAATTTGCAGACCAGTGGGCTTGCGAGAAGACTAGTGTATTCAGGAGGGCCGTTAACCATAGTCATCACCTAAATCATGTGAAAGATCAGTGCTGATCCGTTGCAACGGATTGCTCCAACAGACTTAGCGCTAGGTTTTCAAGGGGGGCTAATTTGGGTGCGCTTGCTTGCGTAGGTCTATAATGTTTGATGTATAGTATGATTAGTCGAGTATCTTAAGTCTATATGGCTGCCGGGAGGGAGGTGGGGATCGATAAGGAGGGTTGAGAATACGGAGGGGAGGTTGAGCCGCCTGTCTGGGAAAGGCCCGACTCGGATTCCTCCAAGCCTCCCCCACACGGGCCAAAACGTTGCCTGATACTGGTTGACAGCGTAAGTAGGGGCAGTGGGGCGGTGGCAAANCTCGGGATTATGTAAGCTATATGGTTTCAATACATTATGTGCCTACCTTGAGTAGCAATCATAGCCTCGCATCGGCTCC